CGGCCCCCTGCGCTGCACACGCGGGTCCCCCACCCCGGCCGAGCCCCCCGCGGCGAGCGAGCAAAGGAAGCGCTGGGCTCGGCCCTTGTGAAAAATCTCCGTTTTATTACTATTGCTTGTGACAAAATAACATTTCATACAAACAAGGGGCCTGGGTCACTGGCCGAGGGAAGAGGCAGTGGGCTGAGGTCCTGGAGGGCAGGCCAGGCTGGAGGGCAAGAAATCAAGCAGCAGCCCTGATGCTTCGCACATTCTCTGAGAAAAATATCTTTACAAAGAAAAATAGACTTGTGTTAGTTACATCTTGGCTGAGCTCCTTGTCCTTTGTAAACGAAAGGCACCCTGCTGTCCGTGCCCCAGGATCCATCTCAGGGCCAAGGAAACAGGCCAGGTCTACACGGGGAGGCCCCCAGGGCACAGGGCGCCAGCGCACACAACACATCCAAACTCAAGCAGGTGCTGCGGGACTTGTCCCCAGATCTGATGCAGGCAATGAAGCAAGTGGGAATGCTGGTCAGCACTGCGACTGGTTGCCCACCCTCAGAGAAAACGTCACAAAATACAGTATCATCCTCCTCAGCACTTGTCAAAGCAATGCCCCAGCTCTAGGGCAGACTGTGCAGCAGCTTGCCAGCAACCCACAGGGCACACCTAACGTGCTTACACACAACATCCTTCTTTTCTAGGAGTACTTAAGTCAATGTGGGTAGCTATGGTATTTGCTGGTGCTTTTAGCTTCCTCAAACTTAACTCACTGTTCCACTTTACCCACTGTCCCTATAAGCTATGTACTCCCCATTAAGCTGCAGGGAGATGACAGTGTTTTATAATTCCAAGAATGTAGGATATTGAGCCACATGCAGCATGTAGCCCAACAGCTCGACATGACAAGAGAGCGGAGCAGGAGACAAACACAGGGGAAATATCTGGAGCGAAGGATGTCATGAAGCACAGAGCCTCAGGGTGGAGTTAACACACCTTGCCCATCTCACTGCTCACCATCTTCCTAGTTCATTTCTGGCTTTCAGAATGTTTTGTCCATTATTCTTATACCTTGATTAGAGAAGCAGAATGGATGCCTTGGCCTAGAGGGCTAAAATGGACAGACAACTGCTGTTTCTCTTCTGCAAAAAAAGATGCACCAAAAGCCATAACGAAATGCACATAGGAAAATGATTCATACCCAAGGGAAAGCAGGAACAGCGACACCTGGTCCACATAACACTAGGTGGGCCCTGCTGCACCAGCTGCAGTACAAAATCTTCAATGACCCTTACAACAGCTGTCCAGGAGGGTGGTGTTCTCCCCTTGCACAGCATGAGAGCCTGGAGCACAGAGTGCTTCAGAGAGGTCAGACAAATACTTTAAGGATTTAGTGTCAGTTTGCATTTTTGGTCCTTTTACTTCTCCACACAGCATACACAAACTCCCTATCCTCTTTCCAGCCCAGCATAAATAGAAAAGGATATTTTCACAATGATCCTGCCCGCTAGCTCCTGGGGCAACACTTAGTTTCCTTCATCCCTCTAGTACCTGGCTAAAGTACTACTCTGGAAACAGGCTGTTGACTTGGGGATGCAGGGAGAATGAGGAGGGCTTGAGGTTCCTACTGAACATCATTCTCCAAACAGAAGACAAGCTGATGGTGAGAAGACACTCTTGTAATCATGTTACCAAGACCCAGATCCCTGTTGCAGGGATGCAGCCGATGAAAGAAGGAACACTGGAGAAGCACTTGGGAAGGAAGGAAGGAAGGTAATCCCTGACCTCCAAATCACAGTTAGCACCCCCCAGTGCAGGGCTGCCTTCTTATAGGGACTTTCCCCTCAGGGCACTTTACTGGGGCAGCTTTTTACAGTTGGCAGAACCAAACAGTAGTTGAGCTGGGAGTGCTCTCTGCCAGCTGGTGAATACAAGTTACAGTTTCCGGTAATCTTTTCTTAGAGCCGAGGGCACCCTGACAGGCAGGGCACCTTAAGCACACCGGTCCTTTCTCCTTCCCACACTCCTGTAAGACAGCCATTAGAAACTGGAATGAACCCTTCCCCACAAGATCTAACGCCCACTCCTAGGTTTCAGCCTGCCCTCAGGCTGAGCAGGTACACTCTGCAGAGCAACCACTAGATGGCACTGAAACACATCCCAAAATTTCACCTGTGCAGAGGGTACCCCGTACTGTTTAAAGGACAGGCTGTACAACCCACTTACACATGCTGAGAGCTGGAGGTAGAACACTCCCTATTGATGGCCCAGTTTATTTGATATCCCCCTTCTGAGTGCTTCATTCTCAGTCACCCTGTGACCAGATAGAGATCATCCTGTTCATAAAAACAAGGAAAAGGAAGTTGCTTCAGACAGAAAATTAGACAAACATATGACACTTGAAGGCACCTGGATTTATACCACACACAAGGTCAGATCCTGGGGAGTCATTAATGGTCTCCTGGGATCGCTCTTTATGCACGTTTCTGGGGAGGGGATTCTTTCCTCTCACAAGTATCATAGTGAACTTGTGGCAAAAAAAGGATCTTTCATTCGTGCCACAGTATAGTACAATGCCTACTGTGGACAGTCCTAGGAAGATGACAGCTTTGCTGTGCCTTGCCCAAAAGCTCCACCAATTCTGAAGTGACAATCAATGGAATTCCATAAGCATTTCTGGGAATGCTGGAGAGGGTAAATAACAGCAGAGCTGTCCTGCTCCTCCCAGCTTTCAAACACCCATACCATAAATAGCCCTGCTTGCCTTTATCCCCACCATGTTCCCAAGACGTGTGCACCTGTTCCTGATTACTGCTCTGCTCCCTTCCCCACCCTGCCAAGACATCTGTGGTGACCAGAATTAGCATCCTCCCCTATATCAGGAGATTCTTCCATGGTCCCTTCTCACTGGGTAACCCTGCTGCCAGCTGGTCCTATGTACCAAAGCTAACTCAATTCATCTTTGCAGTCAAAGATCAAATAACTTTTACACACAGCAGGATGCTAACAGGCCCTTGGCAGTAATGCCCACACTTGTGCTTTAATCGCTATTCTGTCTACTTTGACTGTTGCTTAGCACAACAACCAGTAACCTACTCCTGTTATAGTAGACAGGAGACATTGTCTGATGGGAAGCAAACAGTATTGGTACCAATAAACAACTTGGTCTTGACAAGGTCTAAGTATTAGACACCCAGAGGCCTGGCTGACCAGCAAAAGGACTGGGGACAGAAAATGCCAGTCTCAAAATTAGAGTACTGTCAGCCACAGAAAATCATTTGTTATGGTAACTTGGCATGGCATACGGATAGACCCCTGGCCTCACTGCCCAGAGCACACATGACTCCTTTCTCTTACTGCTTGACAGATTACTTTTCAGACCAGGTGCAACACAGGTCAGAGACATATCCTTTGGCTCGATTGCTACAGCAGCCACAGTAACTATCTTGGGAAAGGAAGAAGTCACTAGACCTTTCCCAAACCACAAATATGAATGAGCCAGCAAAACAGGCAAACGGTTGCCCAAGGCCCAAATCCACATGATTTAAGAACAGTCAGTTCTAACTCCTGGGTCACAACAAGCAACTGCCTTACAACACTGCCGGAATGAGATGATTTTGGCAGCTAGGAAGGCCCAGTTTAATACTAGCACAAGCCTAAGCACCATGAAGTAGCTGAGCTGGTAATACCATTGTCTCTTACTATAATACCTCTGTGAGGTCTTTCAAGTTTATATATCTATAAAGACAGAAGACTAGGAAGATAATAATACCTGCCATGCAGAATGTTCCTCTGGTGACCATCCAGATCCTTCCCCTTCCTGAGCCTCTAAAGGGGGAGTACACACCACAAGTAGCAGGAGAGGAAGTCACATGCAGAGGGAAGAAGGAGGAAAAGGTGAAGGCAGAAGGCCTAACTCAGCACTAAGGCTGTTCCCTGCTCAGAACTCAAAGAAAAGGGAGGCTGTCAGGCTGATTCCGAGACCTATTTAGTATCACCTCACCTTTTCTCAGATCTCACATCTCAAATCAAGTCTCTTGTAAGAGATGTACTTGTAACAAACTAAGGAATCCCAGAAGCAGACCAGGACCCTGAATACAGGAGGAAGATTCCTGCACTATTTAAAGCTGAAGTCATCCCTTATTTTAAATCCTCTTGGGAAATGTAGGGGTGCACCCCCCAAGGCAATCTCAGTCATGCACACCCACAATGACCTGCTACACAGTGAAGAGATTATCTATCCAACATAGAAGAGAGCTGCCCTTCAGGCTTCACTGGATACCTGAATAGGGCAGATTTGCATCCCAAGAAATAGCTTACCCAGATGTCAACTCTCTAGAAGGAGCAGTCTGCTCACTAAATGGAACAAACCGGAAGCACTAAGAGCATGACCTAACTATAAAAAAACGTAACATCAAACAGAGCCGTATAATCTCTGATCCATAACTAACTGCGGTACCATCAGAAACAAAGACAGACAGAGGTGAGGTACATAAGAATTTGGGCAGGGGAGTATTGCAGAGATTGTCTTTACTGCCATGAGCGCCACCTCAGCCTTCTTTGCTTCATGGTTTGAGTCTTTTGGGAGGAGGAAAGGTTCGGCAAAAGGCCTTGCTGCAAGACAGCAGCCCTGTGCCCCTCCTGCATGTCTGGAATGGTTAGCGGTAGCACAGCATCCGGTGTGGATGAATGCAGTGGTTACTGCCCCCCGTTGTAGGCATAGTCGGCCTTGTTGTGCATGATCAGCTTGTTGTCCACAAAGTAGAAGCTGTCCGAGCGGGTCTCATAGGGGTTTTCAACCATCAGGCGGACTGTGGGAGAGAAAGCCCAGTTATACTCAAGAACAATGTCTGCTACACCAGCACTAGGGGAAAGCAAGGGACAGAAAACCACCCCACAGTCTCTGACACCCAGCCTCCATGCAAGTCAGAAAAACAAACTTCTAAATGGTGAGCCCCAGGAACTCTACACAGACCGATTCTATTGTCCATGCACAGGGTGGAGGTCTTCAGGCTGTAAAAATTAACTACTTGGGAGTAGATCAGTTCACAGATATCCAACAAGCTGTCATGGTACAGCAGCACTGAACAAGAACATTCTTCCTATAAGACCTGCTATGCAGCCAACACTAGTTGCACACAAATTCAGTTCAACCTCTCTTTGCCAGACGTACCAACAGAGAAATACGGGGCATTGAGCTGCTCCCATCCTGTCCATCCTGCAGGGGTATAGTGGGTCTTCTACCAAGACTATATAGGGCATGCTCAGAACTTGGCATCACTGATAGCCTTTTACAGGCTCCTGACAAAAAGCAAGCCCTCTTCTGAAGCTGAAAGGCTCCAACTTCAAAATCTTGAGAAACTATGATCACAGCCTCCCAGATCTTGTGTGGGCTCAGATTATGGAAGAAGATACTACATGCAAAAGGTCCTGTGACTGAGGTCACAGGCTGTTGACAGCATCGCACCCAGGCATCAAACTGGGCTTCTTCAGCTCTCACTCATGCTGATGGAAAAATAGTAACAGCAGGTGACAACTCTGTTTGAGTTACACATCAGCAATCTACCTGGTCCCAGTCCTCTGCCCCAACCACACAACCATTTTTCTTCTCAGTGAGAGAAGATCTGAATAAGGCAGGAGCTCAGCAAAGGGGGAATGAGTACATACTGAGGTCCTCTGAGAGCTGAGGGAACTCATAGATGTGTTCACATGTGTTCCTGCTACTGGGGATGCAGAAGCCAAAGTCAAAGTCAAAGTTCTTCAGCAAGCGATCCCGGAAGTAATGCCTCTCGATCATTCGGAAGTTTGACACTGGCTTGTCTCCCACTGTGAACTCCACTCTGCAGGGAAAATATATCTCATGAGACCAATTTATTTAATAGTGAGAGGGGCGCAAATCAGCACCTTTCCATGTAGGTTGTGAACTGAGTTCTCACTAATCCAAGGTTCAGTTTAGTTATGAACTAACAGGGCTTGTGTATCCAAGACTCCCTAGAGGCTTTACTCTCTCCTCTTCCTACGAGGTTTTACTCACGTTGCACCAACAGTCCGTAGACGGAGGAATGCTGGGGTGAACTGATAGCGAACAAAGCGGCCGGCACTGGTGTCCAATTCTCCACCATCATCATCCTCCTCTTCATCTTGCTCTGGAAAAGTTTACCAACTCAGTTAATCTTCTGATAACCTAAGTGAAACCAGCTGACCAGCTCAGAGCTGACAAACCAACCACCCAGGGACATTGCTCAAGCACCCAAGACTGCATTATCTAAGAGCTGTTCTTTGATCTGTTGCTGGCACTAAATTGTTAACATGGAACAGTTTCATAGCAAATTCCACCACAAGGAACAGGATTTGTTGATTCCTATGTTCAACAAACATGTTCAAGAAATCAGTTATGATTGCTTGCCTCACTTGCAAAATCTACATCCTGCTTACCTTTGGCTACCTGTATAAAGGAGGTTTGTGGGGCTCAGGCAAATTATATTTGTTTAATACTAACCCATTTTTTTCAGGAGACTCCCCCAGCCCATGTACATCTCATGAAACACTAACAATGGCAGCACATTTGTACAGCACAGATTCCCCAAATATGACGTTCTATTTCCAACAGCCTAGCTGAACCAAGGAGGTAAAGACATTTGGACACAGCATTCACAAGCTATCTAGGTCACTGTAAAAAGACAGCATCAGTCCAAAGGTGCTCAGCAGCAACTCTGAAGTCTATTGTATCCAAGACATCACTTCTAACAGCAGAGTTTAAGTTCTACAGAAAACACATGACTATAGCTGGCCTGACAACAGTTTCAAGGCTGAAAGGATTACACACTTCCCTCTGACTTCTATGGCAGGCTCTTTCTATCGAGCCTAAGGCACATTCACAGAGTGATTTGCAGGAAGCTCTATGCTGTACATGCTCCATGGAGAGAGGATTTCAGTCTGTTCTCTAGAGTACATTCGCTTGGCATTCTGTATAACGTACACTAGGACATCCCCAGGCAGACATATCCTCCATCCTGCAGGATAGCAAGGGGCAGCACAGGACATGGTGTGCGCCTTGCTATCCTGCAGTGTTGGGTGGTACCACATTCAAAAACATTGCACTACTCCACATACGCTGCCTCCCAACCCAGAAGCAGTGTAACTGCATTTATGTATCAGGCAGGCTACTTAGCACCACTGAGCATACCACTGCATGCCATAGTCAGTATGCATTGCAGACATGCCCTGAAAAACTGTAGTACTTGGCATGCATGGCTCGCTGTACTGTATACTCCACTCGTTGTCTACAGGTCCTACCTGTGGCAGATGGCTTGGCAATTTCAAAGAGCACTGTCCCAGTCTCAAGGTCCCGGATCTTGAACCTGGTGAAGTCGATATTGTAAATGTTGTCTTCAGGTTTGCATAAATAATCTAGGAGAAAGGGGAATGCACTTAGGAGAGCCCTTCCTCCTAAGAGTCCAGATGAAAAAACAACCGTGAGGGATCCCATAGCTACGCCTCAAAGGACCTCCTCCTCCTCTCCTGTTTACCAAAAGACTTTCAGCTACACTGCCTGAACCCAGTCTTCATACAATGGGGCACTTCCCCAGAAGCTTCCGGAAGGACAGTGCAATGGGGGTGCGGGGAGACTGAAGTCCAGACAGTTCTGGAGGGCAGAACATGGAAGGGAAAGCCAATACCAAGGATTCAAAGGTTCACGGAAACTTGCACCTGACAAACCCCAGCTGTCCAAGCAGTGCAAAACCAGAGAGCGTTGGTGTGAACTTAAGTGGACAAATTGGTTTTAAAAGAGCTGCACCCATTTAAACCACTAGCATTTGGCTCAGGGTTTGGTTTTGTTTTGGATCCAACACTGTGCAAGCCCAAACACTCCCTCCCCTGCGAACACAAGAACAGATGGGTGAAGCTCTGGATCCTGCCTGGCTAGTCAAACACAGCAGCAGTCCAGAGACCACCAACTGGCATAGGTTAAGTACCTAAAAGCTGTCACAACACAAGGAAGTCCTGTGTAAACACAGAACGAGAGGAACAAATGGCTGGTAAGAGCCACGCAAGCTGTTGATTAAACGGACTAAGCAGGGCAGCGCAGATGCGCAGCTGGGAACAGCGCTGACAGAGCCACCTGCCCAGCGCACTAATCCCATCCCAGGGACAGGGAGGGCAAGGCTATTCCCTGGGCCGCAGCCCGGCAAGGTGCCACCCGAGCAGCAGCATCGTGCAACAAAGCCAAGTGCCGGGGGGGGGCTGGAGGGAGCCTGTCTCCTGAAGCAGCCTCGTGGCTTCATGGCAAGAAAACGGGGGCTGCAGGGACGACAACAAAGAAGGGGGCGAGGACTCAGGTGAGACACAAGCAGGACCTTCAGGGCAGCCCCACACGGGTCGCGTCTGCGGCGGGAGCCGGGCGAGGCCTCCCCGGGACGCAGCGCTGGGTCCGTGCCCGGCCGCGCTTCTCCCCCGGGCGCCGGGGATCGCCCCAGCCTCCCCCCGGCGCGCCGGGCCCGGCCGCACTCACGGTCCGTGACCCGCGCCCGCG